GAAAAGATACGGTTACCCATTTCTCCACCCTCTCTAGTCACAACAACCAAAACCAATAAAATTATATGTTTCTCCTGCCAAAATCATGTAATGCAATCTAGGGAACTTCAAGAGTAAAGGTATAACATAGAAACCACAAAATATTAGGCTTATGATGACAAGCTAATTGTGTGTGTTGGGTAGGAAAGAGGAATGCCAATCAAATACATTTAGGTAATTTAATTCTCTGCCAAGGTATTTTCCAAATTATAATCTGTACCTTCTCTCCGACTGGTCTCTTCATGTGAATTGCCTTCCTTTCCCTACTCTCTCCTCTGATTTCTCTCCATCCATTTGCAGTAAATCTCCTTTGCAAAGTCAGCCTGTGCTCATTCATCTCCCACTTACACCCAATCATCTCCTGTCTCATCTGCTTCAGGTTATCTCAGCTAATGAGTTCATGGTTTGAAGGCAGGGCCACTGTCTTCTGACTTCTCTATGCCCCATGGTACATCATCCAACAAGGTACTGGGCACGGAGTAAGTGTGAAGTGTATGTGCTCATCCAAAACCTCAGTCAGTACCTACTATGTACCAAGAACTAGGGATTTAAGATTAATAAAAACATGGTCTTTGTTTAAGCAGCTCCCAGCCTAGAAGGAAAAACAGGTGTGTTTTGTACCGTGCCTCTCACTTTCTCAAGGATATTGCTGATTTATTTATTAGGGCAGTCTCCAGCAACAAATCTCTCTTTCTACTGATCATTCCCGTCATTACAGCCATATGGTTTAAGCATATGCTTTTATCTCCCATTTTAAACACAAACAGAAATCCCCTGTAATCCCTCAGAGTGCACTAGCTACATCCAATTTGTCAGTTCCCCTTGATAGCTGATCTTCCCTATGAAGTTGTCCATACATGACACATCCACTTTCTCACTTCTGAGTTCATCCTTCAACCACAGCAGTCTGCCCCTCCCAACCAGACCCCTAGACCTGCTCTCATCAAGGTGCCTGTGTTATCCATGTCACCAACCCACTGAACAACTCTCTGCCTGCAGTTTGTTCAGCCCCAGCATCATTCTGCAGAGCCACCACTCCTTCCTAGGCCCTGGTTTTTCACTGGTCTTCTTCCTACCTTGACAGCCAGTCCTTACCCAACTCCATTTGTGGCTCTTCCTAGTTTACCTGACCTCTAAATGTTGAGCTCATTCCAAGTATGCCTCATCTGCACATCTTTCTCCACGTGATGTAATCAACAGCCATGCAGTAAAGACCATCTTGTACTCATGGCACTCACCTTTGCTCCATCTCCAGACCTCTCCTCCAAGCCCCAACCTCACATATTTGCCTACCTTATAGCCTCACCTAGGTGGAGCTTAAAGGAGAGGTCTATGGAGGTCTTGTAGGTCCTACACAAATAGATCACAAATTCCACATGCCTAAAACAGAATGGCTACGGATCCCACCCCCCAGAAAAAACTTGTCCCCCCACCTACCCCAGGCCTTCTCTGTCTCGCTGTCATATTGGTCACTCAGTTATTAAACCAGAATCTGAGAAGCCATCCTTGTTTTTCTTCTCTTTCTTTCCTCACTGCCCTTACCCACACTTACCTAATCCATCAGCAACTCCTGCATCTAAAATAAAGCTTACATCTACTCTCTCTATCTTAATCCCTAATGCTGCTACCTTTCTCCTGGCCACAGTCATCTCTTGCCTAGATTACTACAAGTGTCCAAATTAGCTTTCTACTTCTACTCTTGCCCCACCACCAGTCTATTCTCTTTAGCAGAAAACAAACAAACAAAAGATCTTCATAAACTATCTAAAGATTCATCTCCTACCCCTAAAATGTTACAGTGGCTTCCAAGGAAAATACTCCTAAATCTCAACCTCTTTCCCACAAGGCTCTACATCAACTCCGCCTATATCACCAGCGCTAGTGCTAGCCCCCTCTTGCATCATTCCTCACTCCTTCCCAACTTTGTTCTTCATTATGCCCCAGCCAAAGTGGATATCTTTCAGTTCCTCAGAGATACCAACCCCTTTCTAGGCAGGAGAAATAGCATGAACAAAAGCCCTGGGAAGATAATATTCTTTGCCCTCCTTTTATAGGGCAGTCACTTTCTCTTCCACTAGGTCTTTTGAAGTTATCATGGCCACATGGAGGCCTTTGGAGACAGAAGTTTATTCTTTATATTAGTCCCATCTATTACTCTCATAGCACTTACTCAAAGGTACTGTTACTTGATTTATGTATTTCCCTCCCCCAAGTTAAAATGTAAGTTCCATGTGGGCAGGGACCATGTTCACTGCTGGACCTCAACACTTAGCACTGTGCCTAGCATATAGTAGGAACTCAATAATACTCATGGAATATTTAAGTGTATGAACAAGCATTTACAACACAGTATGATGTGTACTAGTGCAGGAAATGATCCAAAGTTCTTTGGAAACATGAATAAAGACTCTCTTTACAGATGAGAAGATACCCGAGTTAAATCTTTTGGAATTTGTCAGGATTAGAGCTATGATAATGGTGCTGAAAATATGAAAGAGCCTGACTGAGTTCAGGAAGAGGAAAACCATGGTGTTCTGTGTCAGGCTATACAATTTACATTTTATCAGGAAAGCCAGCCATTTGAGAGCTTAGGCAAAGAACAGATACTGTTTGAATTATAAAAAGATAACTCTGATGACAGTATGAAGGATCACTTGCAAGAGAAGAACTAGAAGCAGGGAGACTAACTAGAAAGATGCAAGGAAGAAAGTGACTATGGCAGTGGAAATGAAAACAAGGAGAAAGAACCAGACTATGAGATATTAAGATAATATGTTTAAAAGCTTAGCAACCAATGGAATATGACAGTAAGGACCATGAGATGAACATGGCTCAGCTTTTAACTTGTGAGACTATGTGAATGACAATGCCATTAATTGAGATAGAAATACAGAATATAAGCAATTTTTAGGGGGGAAAGTGAGGAGTCCAGCATGGGACATAGTGAGTGTGAGGTGCCTGGGGCTATCCTTGTGGAGATGCCCAACAGGCGGCTGGTAAGTGGGGATGAAGACCTGGGTACAGTAGAGGTCTTAGATTTAGAAATCAACATACACATGGGAACTTTCTTCCTAGAAACAGAGGTGATTAATACTTGTTTAATATTTGCCTGAAGATTTTAACAAGAAGTTAAATGGAAGCTATAAGTGAAAGTACTATTCTTACTCAATGTTCTCTGGGAAGAAAAAAAAATGGAAGAATCCAAACTAAAAATAAAAATGGTTAATTTCTCTGAAAATCCTACAATACTAAACAAATAAGGCTGCCTTTTAAAGAAAATAGAGATTCTAAATATTGTTCTGAAGTGTCTTTAAAGTCCAGGGTATTATAAGCTCTTGCCAAGTAAGGTGGTGCTTAATAATTTTTTTTTATTTCATCAGTGTTAATTTAGAAGGAAAGCGAGCACATTATAAAGAAACACATGTACAAAGTCACATTACTGAAATGTAGTTTAAGGAAAATGGGTTGTAGCTATTGTTAACTCATGATTACCCCAGCTAGTTCTCTGTTGGCTCTAAGGATGATGTCGAAACCATTCCTAAGAAAGTTTTGCTTCTTGGCAATTCCCATTGCCACCATGGATTCACTTCTTACTTCATCCTGCCACCCACTGCTGCCCACACTTCTTCTCCAGAACTGCCCGTGTGTGTGATTAGAGACCAGGAGAGCTTGCCTTGAAGACACCTCATACCTGAAATTCTAGCCAAGCAGGAGTCAGAGGGCAGTCCCAGCTCACCCTCTCCACTCCACTGAAATGGAGGCTAGGGACACTTAGCTCCCCCAGCAACCAGCTACCCTGATAATCAGAGAACCACAAGACTTAAGCTTCAAGAAGGAAGGAGCCCAAGGTGAACAACCAGCAAGCACAGGGCCAGCCTTCCATTCTGGTGCGTTCACCTCCCACCACGTGGGGAAGAGAGAGAGCCCTGCGAAGGGCTGTGAAGGGAACTGAGTAGGGCCAAAGAGCTTGAAAGGGAGTGTCTGTCCCCACTGAGCCACTTTTAGTCATCCATAAGGTTTAAATGACTAAAAGTCTAGGTTTTCCTGCTGCTTTGTCCCTCAACTTGCAGGCAAGGCATGGCAGGAGGAGCATGTTCTATGAAGGGCAACTGTTCCCAAAATTCCCCTCCCACCTCCACCATGCAAGGAACACAGCTACCATGCTACACATGTCTACAAGGGGCCTCCAGCCCTTCCCTGTATATACTTCTGCCTTCTGGGAGAGCAATGGGAGGGAAATTCTCTGCCATCTGTGAATCCTGTTCTTCTTTCAGGAGGGTATTTTGACTATAACTATTATTTTAGGGAGCTTTCAGACATAAGCATCTCTCTGCCTTTCACCTCAGTCAATCTAATTCCCGCATCCCAGCAACCCACACACCCCACAACTACAAACTCAGGTATCCAAGCCCATAATCCTGACTTTAAAAGCTTAAAAAAAAATACAAGGGCATGGATGAACAAAATTTACTAATACGCCTGATGGGTATTTCAGAACACTAAGAGGACAATGAAAAAAAGGGATTTTTACATTCAATTTTTTTAGGTTTCTTGTTACTGAAAATAAAAAAGCAAAGAAAATAAAACCCTCTCTCTCTTCATCCACATTATACTTGGTGCAACTATACAAAGTATGCAGCCCCTGGCACTCTGGTAATAAGCTGTGAGTAAAATTCACACTCATGTAAATCTGGAGTTATATTAAAAGGTTACTGTTTTAGTCTTATGCGAAGTTAAAGGACTGCCAAATCCCTTCATCACTCAAGCTCTTTGAAGAATAAGACACAGTCTTGTAGAAATCCTCAGACCAAAACACAAGGGTTTTGATATTTAATGTTTAAGAGGAGGAGAAAGTCTGAGAGAGGAACTAAGTGAAGGGGTAAAAAGAAAGCATTGTTGTATTTGCCGTTTTGAGGAAGAACAGGTTATTTGCTCTCCTCACCCTGCCCAGGGAAACTCACACTGGAGAGAGGCCAGGAAATATCTTCCTCAGGCAGGTGCCTATGTGAGCCAGCACCTCACTCACGTCCTCGGGCGATGCCATCTTCATGGAGATGTTGCACTTCTCAGTTTCCACAACCATCTGCAAGAACCGGGTGGGACACTTCTTAAGAATGAGTCCAGTTCCTTCCGTTTTAAATTATTTTCAGTACTGTAAACTACATAGTCACACAGATATATACTAATACAATATTAGCTGTTTTTTCTTTTAACAAGGTTCGAGGGTAGCACATCTCACATACATGCGTGAATACCCAACCATCACGCTCATGAACTACAAAAGAATCACAGCATTAGCTTTTCAAGAAGCACTTCCTTAAAATGACACACTTAATTTAAGACTCAAAGAAGTGTTTGGGTAGCGGGTGTAGGTGTTGTCAGAAACATCTAGAAACTGAAGCAAGTGTTTCCAAGGGCCAAGCTGGCAGATTCAAATAGACTCCCATATGATAAGAGACTGAATTCCCACATTCAAACATGACTCTCCTTTTACCAAGATTTTGTCCTGAGCTGCAGTATTACAAACTTTTTATATCCCTGCTATGCAGTATAAGTATGGCTATATCTTTCTGTGAGCACCCATGGGCAATCTAAAAGCTACCTTTAAAACACACACACACACACATTTTAAAAACAAGAAACCTTATAATATGCATAAAATGTTAAAAGCTTTTGCTCTTGGGAGCAAAAGAGAAATGCTTTTAAAAGTTTCGATCGGCAGGGTGCGGTGGTGAGCTCACACCTATAATCCTAGCACTTTGGGAGGCCGAGGCAGGCGGATCACAAGGTCAAGAGATCGAGACCATCCTGGCCAACATGGTGAAACCCTGTCTCTACTTAAAATAAAATAAAATAAAATAAAATTAGCTGGGTGTGGTGATGCGTGCCTGTAGTCCCAGCTACTCAGGAGGCTGAGGCACAAGAATCACTTGAACTCAGGAGGTGGAGGTTGCAGTGAGCCGAGATCGTGCCACTGTCCTCCAGCCTGATGACAGAGCAAGACCCTGCCTTAAAAAAACAAAAACAAAAACAAAAAGGTTTCGATCTTTCTAAGAAGAGGGGATACTTGGAATATTAAGGTAACATGTTAATAAAATGTTTGGTGTTAGGTTTAGTGTCAGGCTAAGACTCATTCCTATAATTAATTGCTGGAGATGTCCAAAATACATGTCAAAAAATGTTGAGACTGAGACAGCTAGTCCTCTAAATAAGTATAAATTAACTTGTGAGAAGGAGGGCAGGTCACAAAAGGGGCAAGAGGTTGAAGATGTACACATTACAAATAAGAAGAACTTCAGCCACTTAAAAAAAGATGCCATTTTATTTCATCTCAAAAACACTCATGTAAGCTGGGTGTGGTGGTGCATGCCTGTAATCCCAGAAACTCAGGGGGCTGAGGCAGGAGGATCGCTTGACCCTAGGAGTTCAAGACCAGTCCAGGCAACATAGTAAAACCCCATCTTCCCACCCCACAAAAAATTCCCATAAAATTCAATCCTCTTAGATTATCACTTATCAAAATATCCTCACACATTTACTTCCTGTTCTTACTTTATCTATACAAAAATATGATGGAAAACACTGTTTATAATGTGCAATGCAGTTTTTAGATTTTGCCTTAGATTTTCCTAAAATTAGCCCAAACTGAAAATAATAATAATGTAAGTATTTCAACATATGCATGTTAAAAGAAAAAGTAATGCAAGGTATGTCAAAATGATGAGATCAAAGGACATAAATAATGTAAATGTTTAAGATGTCACTTTTTCATAAATACCTCCAGAAGAATCTGTCAATAAGTATTCAATAAACACCACTTCTGTGCTAGTTAGTTGAACGTAAAAAAAATTAAAATTCCTATTTTTCAGCACCTTCCTCAAGAAATGAAAGGCAAAGCCTTTAAAATTCTCTAGGCAAAGGCTCCATTTGTCTTCTAAAAGCTGGTTCAAGAGATATTCCTCTTGCAAAAGGCACCAAGCATTATTGTACCTGGAGACTAAACAACCCAGTAGTCTATAAGATGTTTTAAGTAAGACTAAATCTACTTAGTGCAATTAGGCTCATAATTTTCATATGCACATTATCTGTGCATACGCATGTTTTTAAAAGCCAGACACTTTTGATTTGCCATTGTGTCTATGCTCTGCACCCCACCCCCAATCTTCCCACCATGGGTAATTATATTTTTCACTACAGGGGTACTTTTACATTCTTCACATCTAGCGCATCTATTCAGTTCACAGTTTGGGTGCGAGTAATTAGTAATTAGCTTATTCTAATTCCACTTAATCTTAACACCTAATCATCTTTAATTGCACAGGCTTGAATAGAATGACAGAGAAGAAAAAAAGGTGACAGGTGGAGGAAGAAATGAGGCCTTCAATTCAACCTTACAAGCAAGCACTCACAGAACCCTGTGTAAGATGTCACCACCTTTGCATAATGTAAAGACTGCAACAAAGTGATGGAGGTGAAACCAACACAATAAATCACCTCATCAAAAAAAGAAAAAAAGAGTTTCCTATCAAATACTCTTTTCCCTCCCACTTCAGCTGGAGAGGAACAGAATGTTTGAAACACATTTTCCTTAGACACCTAGCAGGATATAACCCATGATATCTAATAAACATTTAAAATAATAATCAGAGACATAAGCCATAGTAACTTATGTATGATTCAAATTTCCCACCCCACTCTACCGCCTTTTTTAAGGTCGAACAACCTGATTAAACTTTAAGGGCAGCATGTTTTACTAATCCCCAGCTAACAGACCTGTGAGTTGTTTTTCTCTCCTCTATCAGAAATACCCATGGGTGGGCCTGGCGCAGTGGCTCACGCCTGTAATCCCAGCACTTTGGGAGGCCGAGGCGGGTGGATCATGAGGTCAGGAGATCGATACCATCCTAGCTAACACGGTGAAACCCCGTCCCTACCAAAAATACAAAAAATTAGCCGGGCGTGGCAGCTGGTGCCCATCGTCCCAGCAACTCGGAGGCTGAGGCGAAGAATGGGGTGAACCCAGGAGGCGGAGTTTGCAGTGAGCTGAGATCATGTCACTGAACTCCTGCCTGGGCAACAGAGTGAGACTCCGTCTAAAAAAAAAAGAGAGAGAGAAAAAAAGAAAAAAGAAATACCCATGGGTGGTGGGTGGCTTATCAATATCATTCTGTGACATAGCAAACAATTAACCCTATAATTTCAAAAAAAAATCATAGCAGGTATTCAGTTGTACAAAAAAAGAGTCCAAAAATTGTATAACTACAAAACTATATAACTGCTGGCCTCAACTTAAATACCATGAAGGCAATAGAACTCGAGCACCAGAAAATAATGTGGCATAGAGACTTGTAAAATAAGATAAAGGTTTCCCACATTTCTGAAGAAAAGGGAAAATACCAACGGTAAAAGTCACATTTCACTAACTCTATAGAGCAATCACTCACTCTTACACACAATGCAGTGGGTAAGTCTCGGGAATTTTATCCGAGTTGACGAACTATAATTAAATGATAATAAAAAATAGCAAGGAGAAAAAAATAAATCCCAGAGAACATTATAAAAGAATTCCTAATCAAGGCTAGATTCTGAGTGCCACTGGTAGACATTCCCATCCTTATGATTTTATGTAAAAGAAAATTAAAACTAGAGACTTCAAGGAACCAGTGGTTACACAGGTCACTGGTTCTTAACCTTTGGAATGCAACAGAATCAAATGGTGCACTTGTTAAAAAAAAAAAAAAAAAAAAAAGTCCACCGCAGACGTATGTTATTGTTAACTGTCCTATGTATATGCTGTGTGTGTATGAGGAGGATGAGGAAGTGTGATGTGACAGAGAGAAGGGTACTGCTGAAAGTATATTTTTAAAAATAATCTCAGGCAATTCCAAAACACAGCAAATTTTGAATACCATTAGGTTACTGGTATTGCCAGTCTCTGAACTGCTAGGCCATTTACAGAAGCAGTGCCAATGTCCACTATAATTTCATCTCAAAGGTCCATAGTGTGGGACAAAGTTAAATTGAAGCACTGTTGTAAATCTGTTCTTTTGGTATTGACACTGACAGGGGCTGAGACAGACGGCTTTATACACAGTTCCTCGGAGTGGTAGGCATAATGAAAGGGGCAAGACTACAAGTGTGGTAAGACCAATTTTGGCAGCCACATGGGAAAATTAGTCTTGCTGCATCAACACCCTTTCTCATAATTAAATAGCACAGTGAAATCATATTTTGAACATAACCTTGGCATTAACATTTCGCTAATGCCCTTCTGCTCCCATCCCAGCTCTCAAATCATAAACATAAACATTCCTGAATTAAGACTAGCAAGAAGACCCTGGTTATGTCATTATGTCATCATTCATGAGTGATCATTCACTCCTGCATATGTTTGACCATTTGGGCAAACATATGTTGCTGTGATTTTTCTTTCAAACTCCAGTTTCTGGAAAATGATAAACACGTAAGATAAAACATTGCTCTAAGATGAACTGTGGAAAAGTCCCAAGAGTTTGTATGAAATCTCAAAAACCACAGTGACGATTTTGACAATTTTAAAGAACATTACCAACAAACTCCACACACACACACACACACATACACACCACACACACACACACACACTTTGTAGTTTTAAAAGCTAAAACAAACAGTAGAAGGAAAGAATAAAGATCAAAGCAAAAGTCAATGAAATAGGAAATAAAAAATCAATGAAATCAATAAAGAAAACCAATGGAACCAAAAAGAAAGTTGTTTGAAAAGATCAAAAAAATTGGTAGACCTCTAACCTGACTGAAATGGAAAGAGATAGAGATAACCAAATTACCAGTATTGGGAATGATATTCCCAATACTGTTATACTTGTTATACAGGTATTAGAAGTATAACAAGTGGGTATTGTTAACAACTTTATTTCAATAAATTCAACAACTTACATAAAATAAACAAATTTCTTAAAAGACACAAACTACCAAAGCTCATTCAACAAGAGAAATACAAATGGATCTATATCATTAAGGAATATTAATAGAATTTGCAGTTTAAAACCTTCCCTGGTCAGGCACAGCGGCTCATGCCTGTAATCCCAGTACTCTGGGAGGCTAAGGGGGGTTGATCGCTTGAGCTCGGAAGTTTGAGTTGAGCCTGGGCAATGCAGAGAAACCCTGTCTCTAGAAAAAAATACACAAATGAGTCGGGCATGGTGGTGCATGCCTGTAGTCCCTACTTGGGAGGACGAGGTGGGAAGATGGCTTGGACACAAGAAGCCAAGGTTGCCATGAGCCAAGATTGCACCCCTGCGGCTCCTGCCTGAGCAACAGAGTGAGACCCTGTCTCACCAAAAAAAAAAAAAAAAACCTTCTCAAAGAGAAAACTCAAGGCCCAAATAACTTCACCAGTAAATTCAACCAAACATTTAAGACAAAAATTAATACCACCTACCACCTCAACAGAAAAAATTTAAGAGGAGGAATTACTTCCTCCTCTATAGAAGAAATATGTAGAATCATTCTATAAATCCATGATTCTCTAATAGAGAAGCCAGCCAAAAATGTTTAAAAAAAAAAAAAAAAAGACAAACCAATCACTCCCACAAACATCGATGCAAAACACTATTCACAAAATTTTAACACTTGGAATTCAACAATATATAAAAGGAATAATATATCGTGACTCACACCTGTAATCCCAGCACTTTGGGAGGCCGAGGTGGGCGAATCACAACGTCAGGAGATTGAGACCATCCTGGCCAACGTGGTGAAACCCTGTATCTACTAAAAATACAGAAATCAGCTGGGCTTGGTGACACGCACCTGCAGTCCCAGCTACTCAGGAGGCTGAGGCAGGAGAATCATTTGAACCCAGGAAGCAGAGGTTGCAGTGAACCAAGCTTGTGCCACTGCACTCCAGCCTGGTGACAGAGCGAGACTCCATCTCAAAAATATATAATAATAATAATAATAATAATAATAATAATACATCATGGCCAAATGAGACTTACCCTAGGAATAAAATATTTGATATTTAAAAAAAATCAATATAATTCACCATTTTAGGAAGCTTAAAAAAAGAAAGAAAACCACACAATTATCTCAATAGACAAAGAAAAAACATTTGCCAAAATCCAACACTAATTCCTGATTAAAACTCTCAGCAAACTAAAAATAGAAAGAAACTTCTTAAAACAGATAAAGGGCATCTATTTTAAAAACCTACAGCTAACATCACACTTAATGGTGAAAGAATAAATACTTTCCCTCAAAGATGAGGAAAAAGGCCAAGAAGGTCTGATCTTGCCACTGCCATTCAGCACTGTCTTGTAGGTACCAGAACAATTGTCAAGGTCTGAGATTTTACCCTACTTGTAAGCCAGTAAGTTAGCCTATTACTGTTTCATTGATGCTGCGGAAGACAGGAGACACCTGGGTCAGAGACATAGGATTTTATGATTAATGGCACAACAAAAGGCATGTGCACCACATTTGGATAGATTCCCCTGCCCTCAAAGTCCCACATGGTGACATGAAGGGATTCAGATGGATGCCTGCACACACAGTAGGCTGCTTACAAGAAAGGAACCCTTGGACATTGGAAATCTACTGTTTTCATAGTAAGAAGTAAGCAAGCCTGTTCTTTGTTCAACAGGCAACTATTCCACCATCCCACAAGGATGCTCACTGCAATCAACCCTGAGAAATAGTCTGGGCAAAGAGTAGTCATGGCACTAAATTCCTGGCATACCCAGCAAAATATGTAGAAGTATGACACCAATAGAGGAATATCTCCCAACAGCATTAAGACTAGACAAAGAAATAAAAGACACCCATGTTAAAAATAAAAGGTACCCATCCATATTCACAAATGACATTTTTGTAAATACTGATGAAATCTATTTTTAAAAGCTACTAGAACTAATACACGAGTAAAGCAAGATAGCAGGATATAAGGTCAACATGCAAAAATCAACTATATTTCTAATACCAGCAAGAGACAACTGAAATTTTAAAAATAACACAATTTATAGCAGCATCAAAAAATATTAAACACTTAGGAATGAATTTAGAGATGTGTAAGACCTGTACACTGAAAGCTACAACAAAATACACTCAGGAAAAACTGAAAAAGACCTAAACAAATGGAGAAATATATAGTTTTCTTAGGTCAGAAGACTGTACATTACATCAGTTCTTCCCCCAAAGTGATTTAAAAATTCATTGTAACATCAGCCAAAATTCCAGCCAGCTTTTTATAGAAACTGAGATGTTTCTAAAATTCACATGGAATTGCAAAGGACCTAGAATCACTGAAACAATTTTGAAAAAGAAGAAAAACGTTGGAGGAATAACACTCTCTGATTTCAAACTTTGTTGTAAATAAGCCACAATAATAGAGTACAAGAGTGGCATGAAGATAGTAGCAAGGAGACAGGATTCAAAGAGTGCAGAAACAGATTCACACTTAAACGGACTACAGAATTTCAACAAAGGTGAAAACAAGCTCAGTGAGGAAACAATAGTCTTTCAAACAAATGTTACTGGAACAAGTGAATATAATATAAATACGAGAAAAAAAAAGACAAACTAAAAAAAATTTTGATCTATACATAGCTTTATATTCAAAAATTACTTCAAAAGGGATCACAGGCCTACATGTGTAACCTAAAGCTGTAAAACTTCTGGAAGATATAGAACATGCTGTGACCCTGAGTTAAGAAAAGATTTATTCAATATGATACTAAAAGCACAATCCGTAAAAGAAAATATTGATAAATTGAACTTCATCAACATTTGAATCTTCTATTCTTTGGCCAGGCATAGTGGCTCACACCTGTAATCCCAGCACTTTGGGAGGCCGAGACGGGTGGATCACGAGGTCAGGAGATCGAGACCATCCTGGCCAACACAGTGAAACCCCGTCTGTACTAAAAATACAAAAAATTAGCTAGGCATGTTGGCGGGCGTCTGTAGTCCCAGCTATTCAGGAGGCTGAGGCAGGAGAATGGCGTGAACCCGGGAGGCGGAGCTTGCCCTGAGCTGAGATCCCGCCACTGCACCACTGCACTCCAGCCTGGGCGACAGAACAAGTGACTCCATCTCAAAAAAAAAACAAACAAAAAAAATTCTCCTCTTTGAAAGACACTGTTAAGGGAATGAAAAGACAAGCCACAGACTGAGAGAAGATATCTGATAAAGGCTTTGTATCCAGAATGTGTTTTTTTTAAAACTCAAAACTCAATAAGAAAACAAACAGCCCAATTTTTGTAATGGCAGAAGGAAATACATGATGGCAATTAAACAGATAAAAGATACTCAACATGTTCTGTCACTAGGGAAATGCAAATTAAAACCACAATGAAAAAGCACTACATACCTGTTGAATGGTTAACATTAAAAAGACTGACTATACCAGTGTTGGGGAGGATGTGGAGGAACTAGAACTCTCATATGCTGTTGGTGACAATGTAAAATGGTACCACCACTGTGGAAAAGTGTGACAGTTTCTTAAAAGGTTAAACATATAGCTATCATATGATTCAGCCATTCTACCCCTAGGTAATTACACATGGGAAATGAAAGTACATGTCCAATCAAAAACTTGTACTTAAATATTCATAGCAGCTTTATTCAACATAGCCAAAACGGGAAACAATCCAAATGTCCCTCTCATCGGGTGAATGGATAAACGAACCGTAATACAGCCACACAATTAAACACTACTCAGCAACAACAAGAATAAACTATTGAGACATGCGACAAAATAAATCAATCTCAAAATAATTAAACTGAGGTTGGGGGAGGGAGAATATTAGGAAAGATAGCTAATGCGTGCTGGGCTTAATACTTAGGTGATGGGTGGATAGGTGCAGCAAACCTTGGCACACATTTACCTGTGTAACAAACTGGCATACCCTGCACATGTACCCCAGAACTAAAAATAAAATAAAAAATTAAAATAATAATAATTAAACTGACTGAAAGAAGGTAGACAGGAAGGAGTATACATTGTATGACATCATTCATATAAAATTTTTAAAATGCAAACTACTCTACAGGAATCAAAAGTAGATACCTGCAGATTGACTGCAGATGGGGAAGAGGGCCGAGAGAGTCATACATATGTCAACACTTATCAAATTGTACACTTTAGTTTACTGCAGTTAGTTATAGCCCAATAAAGCTATTTTTTAAAATCTGCATTTTATTATAACTCCAAAAAATTATCACTATAGTCCCACTAAAACCTTATATAGTACTATGTAATTGCTATGAAATTTTAGTGTCAAAGCATGTTGTACAAACTCTATAAGGAACAGTACTCTCACATTTACATTGCCAGTTATAAGAGCTAATTAGTTCTTCACAAACTGAGTTATGGAGAATGTGTTTCCCGTATCAGAATGAATTTCCAACTCCTGTCCACACAGCCAGTGTTGAGTCTCTCATTTTGAAAATTAATCTTCCCTAACCTTGTTTATCCACATTGTCTCAAGGAACATTTTAGGGTTTCAGGAATTCAAGAAAGATGACCTTGCAGTGATCTGTTTTTCACACTCACCTGAGCTGACTTGCTGCAGATGACGCCATGAATCTCCAAGTAGCTGAAGGTTAACTCAAGCTGCAATTGAGGGGAAAGGAGGAAAGAAAAGACCTGTAATGAGGGTTTTAAAACATAAAATTCAAGGTAAAAAACAAATCCTACAACTAGAAACAGTCCAAGAGCAAATAAGACATTGGGCATCTTCTGAAGGCGGGCTGGTTTAATATCTCCATTCATTCAACAAGACAGAAACATGATTTATCAAATTTCAGAAAAAGTATTACTTACTTTACTAAAAAAGAAAAGAAAAGAAAGGAAGCTGCATGCCCAACTTTTAAAACTTTATCCAGAGACAAACACAATAGTAGAAGTTGGTGTAAAAGCAATCACAGTTTTTGCCATTAAAAGTAATAGCAAAAAATGCAATTACTTCTGCACAAACCTAATAAGTTTTTGCACTTATACACTATTTATTCATTGAAAAATGAATGTATGGAAGGATACATCTAAACACTTTTTTCCCTTTTTCACTTCAAAATTTTGCTTCAGAAAGTCCTATCAGGATAAAGTCAATGTTGGTTTTCCCTTCTTTCTAAACCTTTAGCTATTTGTTACACTCTGACCACTTATCAGAGTCAGCCATCCTTCTACTGTCTTCCATAAAAATTCACAGTTTGAATGGATTTAGAGAAATAAATCTATGTTTACCCAAATTAAATCCATATTTACACAAATACAATATTTAGGAATTTTAAGTTGTGCTTAAATGAAATGCACAGAGTTAAACAAAAGTCCTCTCTCTCTGCATGTAAACAAATGATTATTTGTTTCCTTTCTATTTTAACAAGTGCCCCTCTCTTCTCCTGTAATCAGCAGCATTTTTTTTTCTTTAAAATATCCCCAGTCTTTCACTTTTTACCTGTTTTTCCTGATAAAGAGCCACTAATCTTTCTTCCCAGTTTTTCCCATTTCAGCAAATAATCACAGAGCATGGAGCTAGAGACAGCGGGGGACCAAGTTGAATCAATTTATTTTACCCTCCCACACTAAACCTAAAAATATAATGATAAAAAAACACATCCAGAACCAAACCCACAAGAGATTTAGTTCTGCTCCCTGGTGGCATGTTGTACCATGATACATTGGTAGAATAAATTTTAGAGCAGAAAAACCCTAAATCTCCAGTTAAACATCTCAAAGTATACTGATGAAGTTATTATTAATAGTGGGGAGGGAAGTAAATACTGGGCAGAAAACCCCTGAATCTCCAGTTAAACATCACGAAGTATACTGATGAGCTCTGGAAGTTGAAAGAGAACTCGCTCATTCATTATTCACTTCGTCAACTGACAAACACTTAGGAAAAGCCTACTGTGTGCCAGTATTGGAAATACAAAGAGGATTGAGACATTTGGTTTGTCCTCCAAGAGTTAAATGCAGCATTTAAGGCTCACATTTAAAAGCATTAAATTAGAGTAGAAGTTTTCTTACCTATGATTATACATAATTTGGTTTTGAAGTCATTTAAAGCAGGGAATTATTTTCTAAAAAGTATACATACCTTCCTTATTTTAATTTAAAGTTTATGAATAAATATTCATTCACTATCCTTTAATATTGCGCCAAAGTTTTTCTTTGAGTTAAGCCCACTGGCTGGCCCTCCAGTGGCCTTTCTGCATAAGCCATACTCACAAACATGGCTTCCAGCTTCCAATTTAAGTCTCTTTAAAAATGCAGAACTGCAAAATACTTGCAAAGCAGTATGACGGCAGACATCTTCTCGATTATTATGCTCCTCACCACCCCTCCCCCAACTATAAAGTTGTCTTGTCTTTAAAACAGCAATTTAAGTAATTCATTTTTATCAATTTTCAATGTCATAGATATTCTTCTTTTGCACTCATATTTCATTGCTACATAAAATATCTTTCACTAAAATGTTTCATTAAAAACATCTGCTATTATAACTGCTTTAGGAATAAACCCATGACCCTCAATGAGCATCTCATTCAGTGGAAGGGAGCAGGTGTGAATAGGTGTGAGCACGTACCCTCTCTTACATGCTAACAGCTATGAAAATGCAGCCAGCATCAGTCAGCATCATCAGGGATAGGAATGGCCACCTTTGGTCAATTTGGCTCAGCAAGATTAGTTGGAGGTCAACTAAGATGCTTCTACTGTACCTGAGTGCTTTCCCTGGAGTAGAATAACAAAGTGCTGGGAGGCAGGAAAGAGTGGTGACATTTCATCTAAACCCTGAAGAATGACTTCAAGTTCCTCAAGCAAACAAGGAGTGCAGAGGGAAATTCAGGCAGAAGAAAACGAATTTGCAAAGGCATTGAGGTGTTAAAAGAACTAGGACAAGGAAGAAACTAAAAGGAGCAGATCCTGCAGTATTAGTAATCAATAAGGATGACTGGCTGAGACTGTGATGAGTCGAAGTCCCGGGTTATTATTCATAGTGGGGAGGGAAGTCTCTAAAACATACTGAAAGACGTCACAGAAAGGTTCAAATCATTCTCTTATCTCACCTATGGCTATTTTTATTAGGCCTTTGCTCCTAGTCCCCACAACCCATCATCCACTCCACTTCAACCCACCCAAAGACAATTTAAACAATGTCACTGGATTAGATTTATGGGCAGGAAGAAGCAGGAAGACTAGTTAAGAAGAAGCTGAGGCAGACGTAGGCTGCATGAAGACTTGAGGACATTTTTCAGTTAGAAATTATACTCATTAAATATCACCACAGAAATTAATGAATTATTAGATAAGAGGAAAAACTTAACCCAGATTGTCAATAGCCTTTCCACCAATCTCTTGCTCACCTCACACCCACACCCTGGCAAGACAGTGCCCATCCCACAAGCAACAGAGCAGATCTAAATATGATAAAGAGGCTGTCTTCAGTAACTCCCGCTCTTCCCCAGGCAGCACTCCACGCTTCAGCCCCTCAGCCAGGCCTCAGCCCTGACTGCCTTGCTGAGCTGTTTCCCTCCCACCACTGCCTCCTCCACAACCCTCAGCCCGCACTCCAACTCCCCAAATGCACTGTGGTCTTCCAAACTGCTAAGCCTTTTGATCAGTATAAAACCCCTTATTTGCCTGGCTGATGGGTGATTTTTCAACCCGCCCTCTCTGCAAACCCTTCTTTGATCTCATAATTACCCACCCCCTGAAAGAAAAGTTAGGGCCTTCTGGGATGACAGGACAGTTCTATTTCCTTATCTGGGTGTGACTGCAGAAGTATTTGCTTTGTAGTTAATTACTGAGATGTACATCTCTGTTTTGTGCGTTTGACCATACATGTTGTATATTTCACAATAAAATGACAAGAGAAAGCATGTTTAATTAATCAGCTCCCAAAGAGAAGACATATATGTCATAGTCAATGCTTTACACTAATGTTCTAAATATAATTATTTCTCCAGAAAATTATTATTGTTGACATTGGTTTTACTTCTCAGTCAAGACGTAAGGTGGCACGTTAAAACCAGCCTTCTCTAAGGGGGAAAGCTGCAAAGCTGCAGGCAGATCACTTTGGAAGAAAATCTGCCTTTCTTTATTTGTGATGTTAACAATATCAGAAATCAGAACCAATGTTCAAACTACCCTGGCCAGGGGCTGGCTCTGAAACATTATATATATCACAGGACGGAGCCAAGCCTTTCCTCAGGGGCAGAGCAAGGAGGCAGCAGAATAAAGTCATCCAGCAGAAGGCAGGCAGGTGACTTCACAAGAGGTAACACACTTCCACTGTGTCACAGCGTGTTAGGGTATGCATATTATTTAGGGGTCTTCTATTCAATAGGGTGCTTGAATATTTTCCTAAGCCCATAAAATTTCCTTCTGTAATTAATTTCTTACCAGTGGGATAATGTCTCATTAAAGTCCTCATATCATGCCTTCAGGTATTTTAATGTATAGTTTAGTCTAACTTCATCGACATAATAATTTATTTAAAAAACATAATAAACATATAGGCTCACTTTATATTATCTAAAGGGGCTTGGGCCAAAAGCCTCATTTCTTGGAGAAACTTTATAAAAGTTAACATTTGTATGATCAGAAAAAAATAAAAAAAAAGGCCACAGATATCCTAAGCCTATAACTACCAAACACTGCATTGGCATCTTCCCAAAAGTCTGTGCAAATCATGCAAATCATAAGACTGCAAGTCCTAAAAGATCCATTTAATTTCTACCAATAACATTATAGCGCCCTAACTTGTCACCTAAGTCAGAATTTACAAAACAGTGGCTAAACGTTAAATTTCAAGAAACAAGAAAAGCCTAATGAGCAAATAACACTGCGGCCCAAACATCATAGCAGGATAAGGCTGAAAGCATCTACCAGACCTTACCCATTTTCCTGGATATGCTGGCAGGGGAAGCAGTTCAGCTCAGTAAAAAGTCGAAATAAGTAGGACATGGTGAGTCTAATTTCTCTTTCTCCCATTCATTACTTGTGAATCTTTAGACTAGCCAACTTTGCATCTTTTAGCTATTTTCTAATCACTCACCTACAAGGTTACTGTGAGAATTAAATGAGACTGTATACTTACATACTTACTAAATAACTTATTAGATTCTAGCAATAACAGAAGCAGAGGCTTTGCAGCCAGCCTCCCTTGATTAGAATCACTCATGTGCCACGTATTAGTGGAAGTTTAACCTTGGTCAAGTTACTGAACCTCCTTGGGCCTCAGTTCTCTCATCAATAAAAGGGATAATAATAAGACTTATGGCTCTCATGAGATTCTGTTAAGGAGCAAGTTATTTACTAAAACAACACTCCAGTAAATGTTATCACCTTTTTAGGAAAAAAATCCCAATTTCCTATGACCATTCAGTCCATATCCTATAAAAATGATAAACTCCTTTTAGTTAACATAAACAAAGTAGGTCATTATTATGATTAATTCACAAACTATCAGTTCAAATTCTGCACCAAGTAATGAAGGACATCTCATGAAAAATGTTATACATCTCTTTTAAAGAACAGAGTGGCGCCTTGTTATTTCTTACAGGCAACATCAGAGTAGATGGAGAACAGCTGAGATGGTTACATTTCTGGTAATATACTCTTTGGAGTTATGAAGGTTATTTCCCACATGTCTACAGTCTTAGAAAAACCTGCCAGTACTGATCCAAAGGAAATAAGAAGTAGACTTGAATAAAGTGGAAATCAAGCCCCAGTTGAGAGAGAAAAATAACTGGGACATGGAGCCTTAGGGACATACAGCACAAAATCCTTCACTGATTTTCTTGGGATGCCTTTACACAAAGAGAGGGAACAAAGGAGTAAAAAAGATGTTTGTCATTACAGCCTTTAGGTGCTTCTGGGAAGAAGGAAGGAAAATTAGAATGTGCTAAGAGAAATCTGAACACAGCTTAAATCAAAAGTCTATGTAAGTGAGGTGTGTGTGTGTTGTGTTGCAGTATGTGAGTGTGTATGTGTGCACACATGTTTAAGAATGCATGAGTGACTATGCATGAGTGTGCATGTGTGAGTCTGCACTGAGTGAGTGTGAGTGTCGAAGGAAGGACTTCATGAACACCTACCTTGGTGGGGATTCGCGCTGTTACAAGGAAGGCTCGGCATGATGTAAGCACCTGTAAGACAGAAGCAGCAGCATCAGTATGTGCCAAAAAGTGGGCCCAGTGGGCTTTGGTGTTTCCACAGGACTTTAATGATACTGAAGCCTCAGAAGGCCATGTGGCTTGGCTCCTGTCATGTAAGAAGAATTAAGACCTGGGACAGCTTCTTGGTCTCATAGAGTGAGTTTTAACTTAAAGAGTTCCTGTATCAAAGTTCTTTTAGAACAAATCACAGGTGAAATCTCAAGATGAGAAGCCTGTCAGCAGCCCAAAAACCCAACAGATTATTCAGATTAAGTAAAACAGGTCTCTGTGATACTAAAATGCAGATATATAGTCACAAGTCTCACTATATCAACAGTAAACTTAATGGAAAAAAAACAACAACTAAGTACTCATTTGCACTTCTCAAATTACAACCACCACCCACATTTGCCCTCTTGCTTTCCATTCTTTGTACTCCAGCTAACAGAGCAAAATCAGGCTTTTATATATATATATAAAATATACATATTATATATACATATATATATATATATATACATATTATATAATGCACAGAGCGAAATCAGGCTAAGCTTCCAAAAAATCATCCCTAACTTTGCTTCTCAGCTGTGTCTCTCTCAGTCTTAGAACATTTATGGAAGTTTCCTTTTTGATGCTCAGCTAAGAACATACATACAGTCTGTGGGGTCCCATATGCCTATAGGTTCCTTTACTTAGCAGAGGCCCTCATGAATACAAAGGGGCTGAGCTAGGAGTTCAGATTTTGAGCCAGGATCCCACATCCATGAAGCTTACTGCAAAACTTTCCATTCTGCAACTTGGAGATTTGGGCAGGCCTCATGAGTCTTTTCAATAAAGAAAGAAAACTCCAAGGCTTCTCAAGCCCTGATGGGAGAATTGCCCTTTTTTCATTTTCCAAATAACTTCCTTGTCACTAAGCCTGTATTTAGCAAGTGGTGCTTATTTAGCAAGTTATGCTTATGTGCTACTTTAAGAATGCTAGATTAGAACAAAACTGTAGAAAGTCAAGAACACTGGGACCTCAGGTTGTTAAAGGACTTATCCAAAGTCAAACAGCTTTACCCAGACACAACCCCGGGCTGGAACGGCTAAGCTGAGCACAGAAAATGAATCAAGGCTGTGCCCCTGTGGCGTGCTTTATGCCTTTCCCTAGTCTCCCAACTCTGAACAGAAACAGTGCATTTTCTATAAAATCTTTCTTTGAATAATCGTATGTCATCACAGTAGGGGATAATTCAAGTCAGAACTATTTACGAGACAGATGAGAAGTAATCTGACACTAGCTGGCAGAGTGTGATAAGAGCAGGTGGGGAAAGTTGAGGGAAAAGACAGAGCCCATTTCAAGACCTTTCACCCAAATGCCACCGTCACAGTCATTCACAGGATCAATTTTTACCTGGTATCATTTTTGCAGCTTGATTTTAGAGTTGGCATGCCCTAGGAAGCCATTAATAAATGACTTCTAAAAGTGCAGGCAACAAGTGCCTTCTCAGTGCTACAGGCAGTGTGTCAATCTCATAAAAGTGTGGGTAACAGATGATGTCTATCTTTGAATATTCCATATGCTGTGAGCCAAATCATAGCTTTTCCCTGAGGAAGTTATCCTTTTTTTTTTTTTATACCCTCCTAAGGCCCTGGGGGCAAGGAAATGGGACAAAGCACACCAGGCAGTAGAAAGGAGAGGGACAGGAAAGAAGTATGGCCAGGATGAGTGTGTGGAGGTCAAGTGTAGCCCGGCAGTAGCAAGACTGGCTACATCATCTGTAGGGACATTGTTCAAATATGATTAAGAATTTCAAGACGATAACAATAAGGCATTAACCCAATGCAGGGAAATGATGAACTCACTTCAAGGTCATATAATTAGGGGAGAAACAGAATTCACATGCTTGGGATGGAACGCATCCTGTTTGTAGGGTGTCCAGCTCTTTCTGTTTGCACAAGATGTTTCCAGTTTCAGGGCTGAGAATCTTGCATCCCGGGAAACTGGGACTGTTGGTCAAGCTACTAGCTTGAATTTTGGAATCAGAAAGACTTACATTCAGATTCTGGCTCTGCCACTTTCTGGCTGCATTAACCTGTTAACACCAAAGCCTGTGTCCTTAATCACCACACTATATCTATATATTACTACTCAATCGTGCCTCCTTGTGCTCTAGACGCTGGCAGACGTGTCCTGTGCAACTGCACAGATTGCAAGCCACAAAGCTGTCCCTGAGTCGTTGCTACTCTTTATCAAGCATTTCCTAGGTGCCATGAATAGGTGAATATCATTGAGGAGAGTGGCACACTTTAATCCTCACAACAAATACATTTGATGTCATTATTCCCATTTTACAAATGAGTAAACTGAGACTCAGTGATGAACTCACTTCAAGGTCATTCAATTAGAGCAGAAATCGTTTATAAAAGCATCAGAGTTCAAAAGGTTCTTAAGAAGAGTATAATTTAAATCTTACAGCTTTGTTAACACCAGAACCGATGTTCTTAACCACCAGGCTATATTTACATGTTACTACTCAATCCTGCTTCCTCATGCTCTAGCCCCTGGAAGATCAGTTACAGTGAAGGCAGGAAGGGATAGCCCAGGGCAGCCATGACTGGGAGAGATCCACAAAGCTCTCAGCTTGAAGGAGTACCTTTTTCAACATTCCAACAGTTTTTAAAATGCTCTTTTTAAATCCAAGTATGCCCTGGAGAACTGAACTGTTCTGTCATCAGCACTAGTTAATCTTTGGCTAATACAGCAGTACTCAGGGAATTAAGAGTTTGCAGGCCTTTTGCAAAAGGGCAAGAGAGCATTTTGTTGCATGAGACACACAGGGTTGGATAACAGGCATCAGATAATCAAAAGAAGCATGGCAGTAATAAAGAGGAATTTGGAAAGGGAGATAAAAGGCACTAGAGAGAGGCTTAGCTTGCACTGCCATTTGCCTAGGTCTAGGGAGCGGAATACGAGATTAGAACTCATCTCAAAGGATGAAATCTTCACCTTCCCTGAACTAAGCTCCACAGTGCATCTAGCACCTTCTACTCCACTTTAGTACCAGGATATGACCCCTCTTTCAAATACTGCTCCTCCCCCATAGTGGAAAAGAAAAGAAATAAGATAATAATGCTGACAGCCACGATCATAAGCATGGCTATAGGAAGCCAGTCCCCTATTCTCACCATTTCTCCCTTTTTATTATTTACAAAGCAGCACACACATTTCTCTCTCCCAGGAATACTGGTATGATCAATCCCCAATCTTTCCAAAAAGCTTAGGTCCACAAAACCTCTGCTTAGAGGTGAAATAACAGACAAATCCTAAAACTCGCATGCCAGAAAGGTCCCAATATCACGTGGTTAAAGACCTAAAATTCCCTGAGTTTGTGTATAATCTGACAGCAGGTCCAGAGAAACTCATCATCTCACAGCTAGTCAGTGGCAGAGCTGGAACTAGAAGCTGCAACTCCTCACTCTCAGTCTATTAACTCTCCACTCTCACCTAACATGAGCAATAAGGTTCAAGGCCAAAAGCCACAGATAGGAACTTGTAGCCTCTTCAGTATTCATAAAAATATATTTAACTCTGTGAACTTTCCTTCAAAGGAATCCAGGATCCTTTCACAAACATAGTAATAATTGCCAGTACCTGTTGAGTACACTGTTCTAATAGGTTTGCATATGTTACCACATTTAATCCTCACAGCACCCTATAAGGAAAACACTATTATAATCCCTACTGAAGAAACAGAGGCACATAGGGATTATGTAATTTGGGCAGGTCACCCAGCAAGTAGGTGGCAGTTGGGATTCGAGCCTGGATGGTCTGGCTCCAGAGACGGTGTTCCTAATGACTTATACTGGCTGTCAAATCTCACCTTTCCAAAAAACAGATTCCTCAATAGTCCACACACATGGAAACACAGACGAGTCATGCAGCTTTAAAGCCAGAAAGAAGCAAACATGTAAAATGACTAGCAGTACAATGAGAGATTGTAAGGAATCATAAGGAATCATAAGGAAAAGGATATCATAAGGAAAAGGATCAATCCCTACTGGTCTGGTGTCTCCCTCTGTCTCTTTCTATGCACTCCTATCATCTGTTAGTGTCTATCTCTCTGAATTTCTCTCTAATCTCTGTTCTGTATCTGTCTATATGATTCTACATATGTATCTCTCAGTCTATCTGTGCCTCTCCTCACTGGCTCCCCACTCCTCCTTTGACCCCTCTCTTTGCTACTGCTGCCAGTGTCCCCCACACCCCACCCTATCTTGCTCCATCTCCTTTCTCTCTTCCGGAGCCCTCCTCCCCTGCCTTCATTCTGCCCTCCATTCCCCAGCCCTTTCTCCATGAGAATCACTTGAGAACTTGCTATTTTATTTATGCCTTTTGCAAGACAACAGACACCAATCACAGAAGAAAGATCGCATTCTGGAAAAGTATTTCCATTTGTAACACAGTTACAGAAAAATGTGAACAAAGTATGAACCAAAAACAGATACCTTTTGACATCATTACACAATAAGCACATTGGTAATTAAGTGATTACAAGGTCCCCTGTGTGAATCTAATTGATAAGTCTTAAAAACTAATCTCAAACATGCACCCAAACAACTGAAATACAACAGCAATCACTAGCACAAGGAACCAGCCAGCCATTCCACTCTTTGACAATTGTTGTACTTTAGGAAATAACTCTCCCACCACCAGTGGGGCAGTGGGGATGGGGGATGGGGAGTGGGGAAGGGATGGAGTCAGGTGACCTGCTTGTCTTCTCTTGACCTGCCCTTTCCAGAACAGTCACCATAGGAAGTTTCTAGAGGCCACTGACAGGGTATGAACTAGGGTCATAATATTTAAAACAAGAGGAGAGCTGGGTGTGGTGACTCACACCTGTAGTCCCAACTACTCAGGAGGCTGGGGTGGGAGGATCTCTTAAGCCCAAGAGTTCGAGGTTACAGTGAGCTATGGTGGCACCACTGCACCCCAGCCTGGGTGA